CCGTCAACTGTGCAAAGGAGGTAAATCACAAATGATTAGGAAAGGATGCAACATACGATATAAAGTACAATGCCAAATTGGACCAGTTCCCAACTGATCGTACATGGATTTAAGTGGAATGTCAGGAAAGAGGCATTGCAGAATGGCATTCAGGTGATTTTTGTGGTCTGCAACAAAGTCAGAAAAGTGCTGACACTCATGACCTCCAGATCCTGCTGCTTGAAAAGCATTTCCGTACTCTCCTCCCTGTGCAGCAACATCTGCCCCATTCCCCATCAGCAGCTTCACAACTGCCTCGTGACCTCCAGATTCTGCTGCTTGAAGAGCATTTCTATACCATCCTCCCTGTGCATGCATATCTGCCCCTTTCTCCATCAGCAGCTTCACAACTGCCTCATGACCTCCAGCTGCTGCTGCTTGAAGGGCATTTCCATACTGTCCTCCCTGTGCATTCACATCTGCCCCATTCTCCACCAGCAGCTTCACAACTGCCTCATGACCTCCAGATGCTGCTGCTTGAAGAGCATTTCCATATGGTCCTCCCTGTTCATTCACATCTGCCCAATTCCCCATCAACAGCTTCACAACTGCCTCATGACCTCTAGATGCTGCTGCTTGAAGAGCATTTCCATACACTCCTCCCTGTGCATTAACATCTGCCCCTTTCCCCACCAGCAGCTTCACAACTGCCTCATGACCTCCAGATGCTGCTGCTTGAAGAGCATTTCCATACTCTCCTCTCTGTGCATTGACATCTACCCCTTTCTCTATCAGCAGCTTCACAACTGCCTCATGACCTCCAGATGCTGCTGCCTGAAGAGCTTTCCCTTCTTGTGCATTAACATCTTCCCCCTTCTCTATCATCACCCCCAATGATACTGCCCAAAGTGCTTTTTCTTGTAAATAAGCAGTGCCTAGAAATAATCATTAAACTCATTAAACTATCATGCTTTAGTCATAGAATTCACCATTCTCATCTTCAATTATGTGAAATGCTTCTTGGATTCGATTTGGAAGGTCTTGTGAAACAATTGCCCAGCTTTTATCCTAGAAGATACACTTTTACATTTCCAGATCACTCATTGATATTGGTAACTCACTGAGCTTTGGATCACAGAACACCAGTCACTATCATTGAGAACTACAACCCTTGCCCTGGGACACTAGAAAAGGTTTGATCAAACAGGTTTTAGATTGCATATTGTGCTATTGTCACCTTTTGCAGAAGCATAGAAATGATAGGAGTTGCAGGATGATACACCAGGGGTATCTTAACAGAAAAAATGAACAGAAGAATAAATTTTGAGCAAGCAAAAGCACTAACCTGTGTGGATGCCACTGATAACGCTAAAGTACTGTGACCATGGAAATGTTGCCCATCATAATCACTGGAGAGGTAGCTTGAAGGTGAATTTACAGCACCAGAAACTGAGGTGAAGGAATTTTTATGTGTTGGCTGTGCTGATGACTGAGCTTTTGCTAAATTTGCCACCTTCAATTGATGCTGTTTCCACTCTTTGTCTCCAAGGGCAAGATTAAGTGAACGAATAAATGTGCATTGGTTTCGCAGAGGCATTCTGGCATGGACTTCTGGTGGGTCAAGAAGCTCAACATCCTCAGGGCCCACCTTCAGATCTTTTGCCATGCCATCTGCATCCCAAACATACTTCAGATACAGAGAGTGACCTTCACTCTTAACATTGAAGCTTAACTTGGTCACTTCATTTTCAGCATGTTTCGACTGGCTGTGTGAGTAAGTTGCAATGCCCCAAGAGGTTGTCTTGTCACACCCAACTACCAAGCGAATTTCACTATTGCCAAGTTCTAGACCATGAACTATGTTGGCATAGTCATACCAGCTGGCAAGATTAGTGGCTGCATAGTCCCTGAATTTGCCAATATTTCTGCGCAATTCTTGATGATAAGCTCCTTGAGGCATGGTTAGAATAGCACCTTCAAGTTCAGAGCATTGGAATGTTGTCCTAATATCATCTTGTAAGTATCTCTGATGTAGCAGAGACTTAAAACAAACCCGGTCCTCCATACAGAAGGTCTGGTTATGTAACTGTTTTCAGAATGCGCAAGAATTGGCTTGACTTGGACATCTGCTGGTTTTAGATCAAGGTGATAGAAGCCATCAGGAAGCACATCTGGGTTCATGGCATGTCCAGCAGGCAGAGTGATATTGAAGAAGCGGTCAAAGTCACCCAGAGAGGTAACCACCCCAACATCGCCAATGCTGACACCTTGGCGTTCATAAGAATCACAATGACTTGTGCTGGGCTGGGGAATGTAGAGAGGCTGGCCATGTCCCTCTAAAAACATGAAATGATTGTAGATGACACAGCCAGTATTAGCAGGCCTCTGCAGCTCTGTAGGTGGAGGCTGCTCAGGGTCTGCGTCCAAGGTAACAGGCAAAGTGTCAGAATCTGATCCCCCTACATCAGAGTAAGCTTCCAAAAAGATTTTTAAGTTAAAGATCTGAACCACATGCACTATCAGTCTTGTTTGGGCCTCTCTGCAAGTGGCTATCCCCTCTGACAAGGACACTTGGAGATGAGGTGCCTAACAAGGCAGATGCCCTAGTTAACAGATTCAGATTGATGAATAGACATGGTTGATATCAATGTACTCTACACTGTCCATTCCAGAGGTGGACGTTGTGTCGGCTGTCAAGTGAGGGTTTGTAGAATGCTTCTCGGAGTCCATTTGTAGTTTGTTTAGACCTAAGGATTCTTTATAGACCTGAACCACGAGAGCGCCAACAGTCTCACTTGCTGCCAAACTAGAGCCCATCGTGTCCGACCCAACATCTGAGTAAATTTCCAATGATTAACAGCAAGACTTCGTGGTAGAAGCGCACATACACAGCGTGCAATTGTTGAATGTACTCATGATTTGATCCCCTTGCGAGTTGTTGAACATTCCACCGGTCACATTTGGAGTTGAGGAGCCCGCGAACATGGATGCCCTGGTCATTGTCGCATCAACGGAAAGAATTGACATGTCAGATTTTCAGCACCGACGTACCCTGTGCTTGTGACGGGGATGGCGTTTGTATTGGTTGTCGATGGACGACGTCTATCACGTTCCATATCATCCATCTGAATTCAAGTTCAAAAGGCTTGTATGTTGAAGGTAGGATTATCGAGGAGTGAGTGACAAGAGCAAGAATGAGGCGCCGCCCACTCTTGGGCGACGTGAGAACGTTGCTTGGGCGCTTTTAGTTACATATCCTTATTGAACGCGCTTTCACGAGACTTGCCAAAAACTTGCTGGCGATAACGTCAATCAACAGCAGAGCTGATGGTCGACATTCCTGTGAAGTGCGTTGGCTTCAGCAACAAAATCAGGGAAAGTAGCGCACCCAGTTGGTGGGGATAATTGTGCCGGAATAGTGGAGCAGTTGAGGGTGAGCACCTTTCATGGTGTCCCCGCGTTGTTTCCTTATCCTTTCCACCACCACCACCACCACATATTGATTTGGTTCACCGTTTCAAAGCCTTTTTTGTCCGCAAAGCTAGGAACTACAACTACAGCCACTGTCGACATGGACAATGTTCGTTTGGTGGAACTATATCTTTGCTATATCTCGTATTTTCTTCAAAAGTTCGGCCTTTGATCCATCGTAGGACGAGGGAATGTGCAAGACTAGAAGCCCCCAATTCCTCTCATGGAGTCGCGGATCTCTGGCTAACATTCCAATCTCGAATGACGAGTCTTGAATACTTCAGGACCGCTTCATCTCCCTTGTGCCCATAGTTTTCCAACCCTATGCCTCCACTGGTTCCCGTCAACCTTGATTGTCTAACCTCCAGCCGTCAAGGTAAGAAAAGTTGTCACATTTGAAACTACCAGAACCCTTGCTGAACATGATAGACAGCTCAGCGGGATCTCACTACAAAGGAAATGTCTCCGTAACTCCAAGCAACGAGGAGCACTCATTCATAGTCAGGCACATAAACCGCACAAAAAAAATTAGGCAATTGGCCTCTCGATACTCCCTGATACGTTGGATTCGTCCGGCATGTCCCAGGGAACAAATTCACTCGCAGATATTGGCAAAGCTCGACCCAAGGAAGAGCCTGCCTCCGAGCAAGTTCGATAAGACATCTGTTGAAGCTGGAGAGAGAGCGGTTGTCTTTGGGTCTGCTTAAAACCACCATCTCACGATTCCGCCGTTGACTATCACAATCGTAATCGCTGCGTTCAGGGTGCTGCCTGGGCTGCCACTGAACGTGCTTATTTTCCAGCGGAACTCCGAAGAACTCTCAGCCATAGCTGAGCTAGACAAGTCTGTCTTCCAACTCTTCACAGAAAGAGACCACTCCTGGTTTCAATTTCAATTCGGATACCGAGGGTACCGAGCTGAGCCTTCGAGCTGGCACAGGGACCAGTATTTGACTCGACAACGGTACTCCGACGTGTTCGAGCCGTCCTATCTTCTTTCACGTCGAGCGAGATGCGGGAGCAGGTGGCGAACACACGCCAAACAATTTTGAAGTCTTGACGCAGGTAAAGGATGAGGTGAGCCAATATGGATCTGTACTTGCTTTTTCAACTTTACCATTAGGAAAATCCCTTGCAAGGCAGTCATTCCTCATCTCATACTTTGTAAGTCTCTCACCTTCATTTTTGAGAAAGGTGCGGGTTATTGCTTGTTTCGTTCTTCTCCAGGATTCACCTGGGCCTGTTGCACCGCGGTGTTTTATAGAGTGAAGATCGGCGATATTGGACGCCAAGTAAGATCGAAAGTGTCGTCACTGAACGAACCAAATTGCACTTCGGGTGAAACTGGTCAGACAGGGCTGCAAGGGCCTTCGAGCTTCTGCTGAAAATTATTGTGCTTACCATGTAGATAGCACAGAATTCACGAAATATAGATGTTGACCTTCTGCTGGCATGAAAAGTCTCATTCCTAAATGCGGTTCGTATGCATAATGGCATGGGGCTGAGGCATACGATACAAAGCATAGATAGCGTAGTTGATGGCGACTAAATTACTCTTCCTCCTCCTCGTCACCACCTTCCTCCTTCTTGGCAGCGGCAGCAGCACGCTTACGCTTAACGCGACCGGAGCGACCTCCACCATAAGGCGAAGTAAGAGCAAAGTCGATGTGTTTTTGCGAGTCAAGTCGGACGACGAATGAAGGGACGTTGACTATTTGCTTGCCGACGCTATAACGAAGTGATTATCAGGTTTCAAAATCCCAAGGAGGTATAGTATGTTCAAACGCACCGGATATGTCTTTGCCTGATCAACACGCGAGCATGATGGATGGATTTAGCCAAACCACTCTTGAAAACCTGAGTCTGCAGCCTTCTCTCCAAGAAATCTTCAATCTTGAGGGCCAACACGTAATCGAGACGCATGCGGGACTCGTCCAGCACACCGATGCGCACGAGACGGCGGATGAGGGCGTTACCCTCGAAGAGACGTTTGGGGTCCTTGTCGTCGAGTTTGAGGAGCTCACGGGCGGCACGACGGATTTTGGAGAGGATGAGGGCGATACGCCAGATCTCGCGTTTGTTGCGGAGGCCGTATTCACCTGCGAGCTAAGATGGAATAGAATTTGAGGGGGTGGTAAAAAAGGGAATGGGGACGGTTAAGAACCTTCAGCTCGGCATCGAGACGAGCGGATTCGAAAGGTCGACGGGGGACCTTATAACTGTAAAGTTATATAGCAATGGGGCACGGCTTTGATCAGCACGGTGTTACACCCTCCACATAAAAGTGGATCTTGAAGTCAAGTTGGAAAGCTCACGTCTTGGAATGGTTCCTCGGGGCCCTGCATGTGTGTTTGTTAACTGCTCGTCGAACGCGATGTCAAGAATATTACCTGGGCATTTTTTAGATCTTGAGGATGTNGG